TTTATCTTAATAAGATTATTATGAAAAATAGATCAGAATTGAAATATGAAAAGATAGCAAAAAATAAATAGCCTAAATAAAAAAATCAGTTTCTTGCTTTCTAATTTGACATGTTCTAACAACGCATTCCAAATATCCAACACAATTAGTTTCGGTCTGTATAAAATACATACTGTAATAACGTATAAAGCTGTTTCGTTTAGGTTTTCAGTGTGTGAGAGCAGGAATTCATAAAGAACAGACGTACGGGAGCTTTACATCACAGAGACGGGTTCACTGTCTCTTCAATAGTTTGAGGGAAAAAAAGTCAAAATGTGGAATGTGAGGAATAGACTCCGTTTTTGGTACCACTTTCTAATGTAAATGGGGTTACAATAAAAAATAAATAAATAAATAAATAAAATGTAATAACTAGTTGATTTATTAATGGTTAATAAATAATTAAATAATGCTATATCCTATATTATACCAAAATGTAATAAATATATATAATGTTCTTAAAAATTAAAATGTCCTTTTAAAAGGCAACAGCCTATATTGCTATTTAAAAGTTATATATTACAATTACAAAGTACAATGTGCTATTAAAATGTTATGCTATTATTATTAGTGACACGACCATAAATAATAGACTTATTGAGAATATAGAATTGAGTTATATAATGAAGAACCATTTTCCACCGTAATTAAATGCACCACTACTAAAAAAGTGTCAATAAAAAACACCAACCAAAGGGGATTTTCACAACCTGGCAACCCAAGGGTTGTTTATCTGAATAGATTCTAAAGTAAATGGTTTATTAACAATTTTTAAAGCCGTAAATTACAACTCAGAAACCCTTTATATATGGGTGCCTTATTATAAAGTGATACCCATTGTTTTTTTTGTTTTTGTTTTTTTTTACCGCTTTAAAACAATGTTAATATACTCTATCAATTAAAATAAAGCTTAAAAACTAAATGTCACTGGTGCGTTAAAATACTTTGGTTGCAACAAAATGTACAGGCGCCTTTGTACCGCATTAAGACTTTTGTCTGGAAGCTATAATAATAATAATAATAATAATAACAATAATAATAAGAGTTTAGTTTACGTTAGTAGTAGAAGTTTCATTATACTGGTCCTTGCAGTAGCAGTAACAGAAGGTGAATTTCGGGCTGGAAGTGTGCTCCTTCACTCAATCATAATGTCTCGGCTGTTAGACTCATTTCGTTAATTGAGGTGTCATCGAAGTTGTTTTCCCACTCTGATTAAAAGCTGACGTCCAGTTTATCCTCCTCACTCATTCATCAAGGTGAATTATTTCATTAAGCCGCGTACAGCTCCACCGGGGCAGGTTAGAGGGCAAGAAAACAGAGCTTTTCCTCTCTGTCATCACTCATAAAGTCAGACTGAATACTTGGCCTCTTACGGCCGGGCCACCCGGGGCAGCGGAGCCGTCAATGCGATCTCTTTGTCCGAGCCGCAGAACGCCTCAGCGAGAGCAGGCCTGCGCATTCATTCACTGCAGCGGCCTGTGAGGCTGATCCAGGGGGCGGTGGAGAAATCCACAATGTCACGGACCCGTTTTGTGGTGGATTGTTTGGTAGTCCTGTAAATCCCAGTAAAGCTCCAGAACGCAGAGCTGGGACGTGAGGAAGTCAAGATCGTTTATGTCAGAGCTTTTATGGCCCTCATTTACCATCAGGAATAAATGTAGGATTGATTATAATGCATCTATAATTGATAAAGACTACATAGGCTCAGTGGAAACACTTCATTTGATGCTTTTCTCACTGAAAATGTTTTAATCGCTATTCAGTTTCAATTACATTTAATGAGCTTTATTGTCATGAATAGTGCTGGTAAGCAAACCCATATGAAAAGTTATAAAAGAATCATATTTGTTACAAAATAACAATTATGATAAAGGTGTACATATTTGTACAATCACAAATCCTAGTAAATAGGGTATTGTAACATAAACAACAACAACAGTCAATCTCACATGCAAAAACAATTGAATTTGGTGCTGTTTCTCTGGCTGTCCCTCAGGTTGGGGCAAGAGCTCAGATATTTAGCTGCCACCATGCAGCAATTTTGTTTTTCACCTAGTGGTTATTTGAGTTTGTCCTCTGTATGTTATTAAATCTGAATATCAGACACAAGACACATACAGCCGTTGGATCTCCTCCTGCTGATAATTCTACATTTAACAGTATGTTAATACCTGTAGTGAGTCAAGATGTCTTGAATCTATTAGTGACTCAGCTGAAAAATGACATTCATGTGTTAATCCAGGAGCTTTCCCTCAGGTTGACAGCATTACTACTGAAGGCATTTACTTATGAAGAGTTGGTGATAACAGTAAAATGAAGCTTTTGTTATTTTGGAGGGTTTAGAACGAGTGAGAGGTGGATCCATCGCATGAAACACAGTAGCCTGACTGTTGTAAGGTGTACCTCAGCCGCTGAAAAAACAAAACAAAAACAGGCCTCATGAAACAATTATCAGGCTTAGAAATATGGACTGAATAGTGACAAAAGGCACATTATACATGGTAACAAAAGACAATAGTAGAAACAGCAAGGGCAATATCAGTAAAAAAACAACAACTACTATAACAACTGTAAACAACTATAGACAGGAGAAGCAAAACTGAATAAAAAACAGTGGCACAATTAAAGGATAAGAGTTCTAAGTGTTGTTTTAAAGGATGGGAGTAAGGGATATATAGTTTTTATAGTTTTTGCATAATTTTTACATATAATTTTGTATTTTGTTCAATTGTATGTTGCTTTTAAGATTCAGCCTTTTGTTATTTTGATAACATTGTTATTATGGGAAGAACATGAGGAGTCCAGTAAGGTCACAAGAGGTTTTTGCTCCCATTATATAAAGCTGATAGAAAAAGATTATTTAAATTTATACTAAATTACTTATTTGTGTTCACTGAAAGCCACACAGAATAATTTCCACTGTTCATGTAGAGTTCATGTAATACTGAAGACTAAATACTGTAGTTTTCTGGTCCATATTGCTCTGTTTGGGGCACAAAGCCTCTCAAAAAGGTGAAAAGGGAACACAGCAATGTATCATTCCTAAATAAAGCATGTGTCCGTCAGTATGTTAATATTCTGAATGGAAATTAAAGTATTGACTCAAACTGTAATAGTACAATTTAGGGACAATGGTGCTTTAGAATCAGAAACAGATTTATTGCCAAGTAGGCTTTCACATACAAGGAATTTGCCTTGGTATATTGGTGCATAACTGTAAACATAGTATGAGGAAAGTAGAAATAAAGACGAAATAGAGACAATTAAAAAAGAGACAGTGTACAATATAAGAGTTATTTAAATGAAAGGCTGTGCAGTTTGTGTGGGGATGTGCAAAATATGGGAATGTGCAAGTTCACAGTTTGAAGTATAAAGGTTGTTTACAGTGTGTAAGATATAGTCCCAGGAAATGTGCATTAATGTAAGGCACAGATTCAGGGTGGTTGGTGAAGTCAGTGTCAGTGGAGGTTCCTTGCCTTATTGATGAGGCCATTTTTAGATTTAGATTTCGGCAGGTTTACTTCAGTATTTTTTCCATTTTTACCAACTACTCATCCTGTCATTTTTAAAAAAATTTTTTATTCAACCTTTATTAAGATTAAAATTTTTTTTCAAGGCTGACCGCACCAAGATAGCGCACCATTACGAGGTAACAAAAATGATTAAATAAAGCATGTTAAAAACCTACATGGGACAGCGGATACATATACACATACAATACAAAACTCAGTTCAGGAACAACAATGACACTCTTCAGTTACACAGCTTGTATCAAAGCCATGAACTCTTGCAGGAAGACAAAAACATTAAGCTGCAGTGTGTTCTGACATTTATTCCTTTACCAGGGTGCAAAATAGGAGAAAGCTGATCTACCAAGCTCTGAGCAAATCCTTGGGACCTGGTAGCACAGCCAGCTAGTGGAGCGAATATCATAATAGCTGTTAGTGAGTGAGAGGAGATTACACAAATATGAAAGGAGTTTACTCAGTATGGCTTTTTAATAAAAAAATAAATAAAATGGCTATTATTTCCATTTTTACTTTCATACTATGTAGATACGTGTTTGCTGATTTATAATGTGAAAATGTAATCACAATATTTGAATATATTTACATATATTTTGCAATATTAAATGTTCAACTTGGTATCACATCCTCAATGATATTTTCCTATATATATTTATTTGTATTTTTGTATTTTTCCCCTCCAAGTTCTGGTGGTGTCAAAGAGTGAAGTCTGGTAGTTCAAAGAAGCAAAAACAGGTTTATAAATCATCACAGGACATGTATTAGGACATACATGCATACAAATAGTTGAACTTTTTGCCACAATACCTGTGAAAACTGATAGCAGTGCTCACACAACTGCAGCCGCTCTCAGCCCTGGAAATAATGCACTGGATCTGCGCAATGTTGAACTTACATGTTTGATATGAAAGTGACAGTGTCTTCATCACTTTGTCTTTGTCTGTTTGACTGTCTTACCGTGTCTGTTTCTCTCTGTAGGTCTTGGTGATGGATGGGGTCAGTCAACAAGGTTCAGTCCTCTGGATAGCATGGCTAAAGAACTTGGTTCCCACCTTTTACAAGTCAGTACGGGAAATAAATTGTGTTCTAGCACTGCAGTATTCTCTTTCATACTCTACTGTACACTGTCCTCTGGGATGACTGTGCTAAAATATGCTCCATGAAAGTGCTGCTCAATACTAAATGATGTTACTGTATGCTAGCCTATGCAGCTGATTTTGCTTTGCTATGCTCATTAGAGTGGAGGTCAGTAGATAGCAGCAAATAGTCTGTGGGCTATAAATCTGGCTTGACACTGAATTATTAAACCCTGCAAATTAATCTGAATTTTAGGCTTCTTATGCCTCCATAAGTATAACAATTAAATGCTGTATTTACGGTTAAATACTGTAAATAACATAAACAGCAAGTGGTGCTCAGTTTAGGTTGTATATCATCTAATGTTTTTAAATATGTTTACGCCTGAAAGGGATCATGTGTTTGGTCGTGTGTGGGTCTGTCTGCAGATACACATCAGGTTGATATTTTTTGTAGCCTACACATTTATGACTGTATGTTCAAGAACCTCTCAAAGTTGCTGTGATTCATGGTTCAACCTGTATCATTGACTGCTCTGTTTTATACCACCACTAATTACTGACTTCTAGCCCCAGAGAAACCTGGTGGAGGTATGCACTATACTGAGGCCCTTTTTCCACCAAATCACCCCTGGTTCTTGAACATTCAAGATTTTTGGAACCATGGTGCTATGTAGCAAACAAGCCTTCTTCCAATTTCGAGTCGAACCATAGTAACTGGATGAATGATCAACAGAGGGTGCACTACAATGCACAACCTGTTGAACATAACATGCCCACTTTGCTTCCCAAGGAAGACCTGTTATTTTTTGGTCCCATCTGGGAACCAACGTTTTGGGTTCTGAACCATTTTAGTATGGGCCAAAACGCTCAGAATAGTTCAAAACAAGGTCTTTGAACCAGAATAGAGCCGATTCCCTGTTGGTGGGAAAGGCCAGAGGCATAATAAAAATCTCAGTGATTGTCACATTTTAAATTTAACTTTTATATTATTTATGATATTGTGAGTTTTTAACTGCAAATGGTAATTCTGTGTAAGATGACTGTGATGCCAAGTAAAATACACTTGAAAACATGATAATCATAGGATCTTCAATATGTCCAAAAACATGAACTCTTTAAAAGAGACATCATCTGCTCTCAGTAGCAGTATATTTGAGCTGCTGATATCATTTTAAAACTCTGAAGTCCAGAACAGTAAAATTTCTCTGAGGAAAATTCTCCCACACTGGGCATGAAAGTAAGGAATGTGATTGGCCAAGTGTGCCGCAGGTGTTATCACTTATGTTATATTTAAATTACTTAATTCACTAAAATACCTCCACTACTGTTTAAAACTGCTACCATTACTTCACTAGCACTGCAAATACTGATATCACTACTATGACCTGTAACCTACCTTCTATATTCATTCTTCTCTACTATTTAACTGATTACACCAACACAACACAACGCTGTTAAAACAATCATACATACAACCATTACCAGCTCAATTACAGCAGCTACTACAATGGTTTTTATATACAGGTATACTTCTGTTTTTCGTCTCTTTTTCATTTTCACATGCCTTTTTCAGTTTAACATTCCTTAGCTCTTCATACTCCTGTGTTTGATTTTAAGACATCTTAATGACGTTTAACTGGGCCAGTACTCACTCACGTCCGGTTGAGTTATTTTATTTATTAGTCTGTACTACGGCTTTTAAATAACTATATGCACTCTTTGTGTAGTTATAAGTGTCAGGCACAATAGTCCTACCTCTTGCTCAAACAGAGGATGTTAGAATGTGCAGCCAATTTGAGGTCAACTATTTGGACTAGTTAAGATGGAAAGCAGCTGGATTTAGATTACTGACACTGTAGTATAAATTTTGGACTAAATCATACATTTCTTTCAATAGAGACAGCTGAGTCACAAATGGTTAAAAATGACAGTAAAAAATAGATCTAGCAATAAACCACATGGGTCTGAATACATTTAAAACTAAACTACTTAAATCTAAACTTCTCTTTAAAAATATGTTTTGGAGAACTGTACTGCCACCTGGATTATTAATATGTCAGACACATTAGAATTGTATAGTTATCGGCCAGTATTTTTCACTATATATATATCAGAATCAGAATCAGAAATACTTTAATAAATAAATAAATTAGGGTGGTCAAGAATAATCATTTTTAATTTTACCAGTTTTCACTGAAAAATTGGATTTTTATAAACTAAGTAGATATTAATATACTAGCAAATTTAAAAGGTATTTCGTTTATGTTGCAGCATGTTGCCATTAATCAACACAGAAAGAAGAGTGTTCACTGCAGTTCCGAGTAAACAAGGTCCTCTTGCTGCAGGTACTACCCGGAGCATGGGTTTACTGACAGACATGGAAAGTGTCAGGAAGTGCAAATGAGCTGCTGGTTATGCACAACACATCCATCAAATTATTGAAAACATATTTAAATTAATAAATACATTTAAAAAAAATATATATATTTTATTTTTACCAGACATTTTTGTAATGTTAATTTATAACCAGTGTTTACCATTTTTATTGTTATTTTAAATGAAGATACAAATATTCCCAGATGCTTTTCTTAATTTAAAAAAAGAGAATCTAATAAAAGATAGTCAAGGGTAAATAATAATAAGATTTTTAACTACATTGCTAAATTACCAAATGCAGAATAGCTGCATACTAACAAAACTTACATCTTATATCATATGGACAAATGTATTGTGACACAACATTATAAAAATGAAAACCTTACTCACTCACTGTTTAAGAGTAACTACTTTGTTACCGCTCCCACAGACTCTGGATGGTTTCGTGTTCGTTGTTGCCTCTGATGGAAAAATCATGTACATCTCTGAAACAGCATCAGTCCACCTTGGCCTGTCCCAGGTAAGCCCCATCACATAACAATTCACATTAACCATTAATGGCTACCCTGATACAATTTCTGCCCCCACTCTCGCAAGTCTTGTATGCATAATATGCTTCTGAGCAATGAGTACTGTATGCATAAAATGTTTCTATCTTATATTTTACATTAGCTACTATTCATTTAAACCAGGGGTCTCAAACTCAAATTGGCCACTGTTGTTATTGTTGTCTCATAGAAGGGCCTTGTCAACATTCAAGTACTACAAGAAAGTGCAATATTCTGAAAATATTTCCATTACTAACATAATACTTAACACAAAATAAAAATATCATCATTTTATATCATCTTTGTTGTTTACAGCCAAACAACAAAGGGCCAAAATCTTCTCTCTTCTTATCAACCGTTATCCACACGCATTTGCAGACACCTTTGACCATTATTTTGTGCCAAATGAAATACAGTTTTTGAAATAGAATTATGTTTTTATTTTAATTGTATATGAAGGGGTGGTTTAAATTGTTAAGACACACACACACACATACACACACACACACACACATATACATAAATAAATATACATAAAAGTCTGAATATATGGAATGAAATGACACGTGACCAAGGCACTGCGCCATATTGTGTTTTCTATACCGGCCTAATAAGGATGTTATGCAAGAAGTGTGGGCCTGAGCGAGCCTGCACGTAATCTATCATAAACAGTCCTAACTAATGAAGCGATAATTAACGCCCTGGCTAATGCGGGCCAATATTCACGATGTTACTGTACTGCAGCTGTATGTTTAAACACAATGCATAGGAAGCAGCAAAAGGTTTAATGTGGTTAAGCTAATAAAAAGCTTCTCCTTCAGTTCATGAAGTCTCTGCAGCATCTGAAGGCATGGACGGATATGTTCAGTTGTTTTAAGTGCCGCGCCAGAGCGCATTGCCGTTACGCACGGCCATTCACTGTGTTTTACCGTCATTAAATCGACAGCAGGCTGCTACAATATTAACATACAGAGCTCTACACACATCAGACTGCTCGGATAGAACTCCATGTTCTGCTTTTTCTGAAGGAGACATCCAGTTACCAGGGCTTATCATAGCCTCATCCAACTTTCTGTTTTGGCAAACGTAGCGTCTCATGTTTTATCCCTGAAACACACTGCAAGGCAAACACTGTTATGTAACATTAATTACTGAACTATATGACCATGAACGAGGTGAGATACATACTAATTATTACTAAAAGAGCGTCAGTCAGATTATAAAATACAGGTTATAAAAATACAAGCGGTTTCACCAAATCAGTGTCTTTATTTTGATACAGTATTTAATTATCGCAGCCTATGATCTATATTCAGCTTCACCTAGCCCTTTTGCAGGTTGTGCTGCTGAACATACATGGACCAAATTAGAAGATGCGCATGGAGACGCCATACAGTCTGTGCACCTAAAAGAGCACCTTGCGCTTGGTATGAGAGTGCAAATGATTAAACTCAGGGTGCAATGCATGTTTGCACCCTCGTAGAACCGGGCCTGAATATAAAGCTACAATTAGACATTATAAAAAAGTAATAACAATGAAAAAAACAAAAAACGAGATATTTAAAATCTGGTGGGGCATGTGCCCTTCAGCTTGAATGGGCATGACTCGACTTGACATTGTAATAATATTAAATCTTATTATCTAAAACATAAGATGGCATCAGTGCCTTGATGATGTCAAATTTCATTTAATATATTCATTCCATAATTTCCTATACATAATCCTGCAGGCCGGATTCTATTTTCTATGATATATTTTAGAGATCAGAAGGAGGGGCGGATGGAGGGCTGGTAATGGCCCCCTGAATTCATATTTATTTATATTATTCATAATAGTTAATGTGAAAGTAAATAATAAATGCATAGCCAGTCAGCTGCTCTTCATCACTGCCTCAAACTCAGACTCCTTTTAGTTTTGGTGTGCCACCCCAAGAATTTCAGTGGCCCTATCTGCTCACCCCTATGAAAGATTTGTGGGTGCACCTCTGGCTGCATGTCTTTGCATTTTGTATGGATTTTGGTTAGTTGGCTTTTGTGTAGCTGATCACTATATAACTCATGCTGGAAATGTGTGTGCTGCAGGTGGAGCTAACAGGAAACAGTATATTTGAGTACATTCACCCATCAGACCATGATGAGATGACAGCAGTGCTGAGTCTGGGTCGTCCTCCACACCATCACTTCTCTCCAGGTACTTAAACACATTCAACCTCCAGGCTCTCATGCATGTCATAGTATATCACATACTGTAAATGGCCAGATCATTTATTTACGGCACAGACAACAATTGCTCATATTAGAGAGATTTGCTGTTCCCTGGTTAGTGCAAAGTAAACTACTATATGTCAGGTCATATTCACTGCTGTGTGGTAAAAAGCAGTTTTGAAAAAAGTCTAACTCAACTTCCTTTTTTAATTTTTTCTTAAGTAAATTAAGTCATACATATTGTTAAGTCTGTTGGTCGGCTACCAGTGCTCACTTTTATAGAACAGTGCCAAACATTACAGCTGACCACAGTTGAGTAATTAAAGTATATAATTCTTACTGTGATGAAAAAGAACTTTGAAGGTTGTTTTAGATGGATCTTTGTGATGACATTGTCAAGTTTGAGATAATGGCATCATAATGATGTCATCTGGTTTGGCATGGTCTAAAGCGTGGAAACTACATTTTAACAGAGAGCCTGCATTACAACTTGGGGTATGGAGTGTGAAAGAGGACATTGTTGAGAGTCTAAAGAAAAGATGTTGGTTTGCATTATGGGATTTTGGCATATGCTGCTTCAATTTTGGACGTTCTTTTCAAAATCTTGTGAGTCTTGACGTACCCCATTATTGAACTTTAAAAACAATATTCTTGGATGGGTAAAGAGGGTGGGTGAGTGTAGCATCTGTTGATCCTGGTCTGTTTTTGCCAGGGAAGAGGCACAGGAAGAGGAGTTTCTGGCTGGTTGTCCAACCTCAGGAGAAGCAATACAGACACCATAGTTGTCATTAAACAGTAAATCAACTTTTTACAGCCTTATATATGTGTGCAAGTGGTTTGGACTGTATCTCATTTGTACATGGCTTTGGAGTAAAGCGTCTGTCAGAGCATGTACACCAATCAGCCATAACATTATGACCACTGGGGCGACTGTGGCTCAGAGGTAGAGCAGGTTGTCTACTAATCAGAAGGTTGCTGCATGTCAAAGTGTCCTTGAGCAAGATACTTAACCCCGAATGGCTCCCAATGCTGCGTCATCACTGTGTGAACGTGTGTGTGAAAGGGTGAATGTGGCATGTAGTGTAAAGCGCTTTAGTAGTCAGCAAGACTAAAAAGGCGCTATATACTGTAAGTACAGTCCATTTACCATTTACTGACTGGTGAAGTAAATTACACTGATTATCTGGTTATGATGGCACCTGTCAGTGGGTGGGATATATCAGGCAGCAAGTGAACATTTAGTCATCAATGTGTTAGAAGCAGGAAAAATGGGCAGTGTGAGGATTTGAATAACTTTGACAAGAACATTATTACCGCCAGGGTGCCCAGGAGGCCATCATGTTATGGCTGATCTGTGTATACATCATGAGATCCATTCATACTACATAAGTCATATAGCCGACTATAGCTGTCATCTTTTGGTCTCTTTTACGCACATTTGACTATACTGGTCTGCCAAAACAAATCTGAGATAATTCAGTTCAATTCAAAACAAATTCATAAATTCATAAGTTATCTCAGGACACGTTTCAAATAGAGCAGGTCTAGACTGAACTCCTTATAAATGTATTTACAGAAGAAAGGAGGACAGAGACAAAGTTGTTTCGGGACGCCAACTAGAACAAGTTGACAAAGCTTTACGGGTGGTCGCGAGGCCTTCATGATTTTAAGGGGTGTAAGAAGCCTTAAACTTAACTTTTTAAGATCTAAACTTTCAAGAGCTGAACACAATCACAAACAGGAAATAATTTGAATTAAATACATAGAGTATATTGTCAGTTTAGTCAATGATAAAAAAAAACCTGTCCCTTAAGGAAAAAGATTGGGAATCACTGAAGCATCTTGCCATAAGGTTGAAGATAATATGAGAATTACTTTAAAGGCTATGTTATTTCAAATGAATTCCATAACTGTGGACCTCTAAACATGATAAAAATGTATACAATGAATAAAAAAATAGGTTACATTTTTGTTTGTTTTGTGTTCATGTTTGTTTTGTAAAAACACAATGTACTACAACATGTGAGTAATGCCTCTATAATGTGTGTTTATGTGACAGAGTATGAAATAGAACGCTCCTTCTTCTTGAGGATGAAGTGTGTTCTTGCTAAAAGAAATGCAGGACTTACATGTGGAGGATATAAGGTAGGTCCAGTCTGTGAAACTGGAGTTTCATTTACCCAAACACATACATGGAAGTGATTTATTTCCATTAAGTAATACATAAACAATTACTGCACTGCACAATCACTTATTGGTCATTCTCAAAAAACCATGGTGTTAAACCTCAACTGTATTCATCCCAGGATACGTTCTCATGAAGCAGCAGCAGCTGGAGGTGTCTTGTACACAGATTATGGTTTCCTGTGGTTTCGCCATTAGTTGGCTACTGTTACAGTTCTTCATGACCGGGT